CGCCCGCCGCGAGCCGTCCCTCTACGGTGGGTGAGTGGCCTCAGCCGGAGCCGTCCCTCTACGTGGGTGAGTGGCTCTCGCCGGAGCCGTCCCCTCTGCGTGGGTGAGTGGCTCTCGCCGGAGCCGTCCCCTCTACGTGGGTGAGTGGCTCGCGCTGGCTTCACAGTGTTAGTGTCACGGTGTTGATTTCGCAGCGGGGACCTCACTGGTGGCCCAAGCAGATCGCCCCGGAAAGCGTCTGCCTGCCCTCGTGGGTCTGGAAACGGCCTCACACCTCTGCCGCGTCTCATCTTCTGTTGGTTTCCCGCCTTTCCGCTCAGATGGATTAGCCGAGCAGCCAGTGAAGTTGACGTGTCCGTCCCAGCTTCTCATTAGCATGGTCCCTTCTCGGCTTGGTACCTATTTTTTGCCCTCAATTTTTTTTGTTTCTACTGGTACCCAGATTTTTAAATGAAACTCGTTATTTTGAGATAATGGTAGAGTCCCGTGCTATTGTAAGAAATAATAAGGAGAGACACCGTGTCCATTTCCCCCAGTTTCTGCCAAGGGTAACATCTTGCAAAACAATAGTCCAATGTCGCAACCGGAATGCTGGTATTGACAACCCACTGATCTTGTTCAGATTTAGCCAGTTTTACATGCACCCATTTGTGTGTTTGTGTGTGTGTGTGTGTGTGTGTGTGTGTGTGTTTGGATCTGTGCAGCTGCAGCACAGGTGTAAGTTCATGTGCCCATCACCTGTCCAGATCCGTCACCACGAGGCTGCTGGCGTTGCCCTTTATAAACACACTCACCTCTCTTCTCCTCTCCTCCGGCCCTGTCCCCCGGGCAACTGCTAGTCTGTTCTCCCTCTCCCTAATTTTCCCATACCTCGTTTTGAATGCATACTTGTTTGCTTTTTAAAAAGAAGATTCCCAAATCGAAAAAACCTGCATCTTCGTCAGAGCCCATGAGATCCCCGAGTCTTCGGCCCGACAGACACCGAGGATCAAAAGGTCTGGGCGTCGCGGGGCTCCTGTGTCGGGTCCGTGGCTGTTTTCGTTTATGGCCGGTTTGTTGGGCAAGTAGGACGAGCATCTCGTTTGCTAGCGGGGTCCATGAAAGGTGACGAGGGGCACATTCCTAGCGGCACCCCGCGTCAGGCGGCGATGCCATTCCCAGGAGAAGTGACGTCGCACCTTGGAGATAGAAAATCCACGCTCTGTGTTGGCTGTCGCTTGGGTTTCTTGGGCAAGCAAGCGCGGGCATGCAACGGGAGAGAGGGATGCTTATGAGACAGCGTGTCACTTGCATATGCCTCGGCCACGCAGCCTGGGGTTGCGGACACACGTGGCTAAGGGTTGCGTGAGGTCTGCAAGAGCAGGGGACAGTGGCAAGAACGCCGGTGTCTTCCATAAAGAGCCCACGTTTAATGCTCAGCCTTGGCAGGTATCGACTACGCATCCTCAGACAAATCATCTAGCTCTTTGCTGGGCTTCTCGGGATAAAGGAGGTAACACTCACCTTGCCTGCTCCATGGATATCGTGACACAAAAACAAGAACGATAGCAGATCACAGATATTGTTACGTTTTTGCCAGGCGCTATGCTAAATGCCTCACGCGCGTTATCTTAGGTGATCGTTTCAACAAGCCCGTTTTGCAGATTGGAATGTTTAGGTGCTTTACTTAACTCTGCCTGGCCAGCAAGTGGCAGAGAGGGGTCTCAAACCCGGGCTGGCCGACCCCAGCGCCCGATCCCTTGGCACTTGGGCAAACCGTGTCACAGGATTCGGCAAGCTGCAAAGTGTGGTACACATGGAAGACTAACTTATGAGATCCTGGTGGC